TGGGGCCACGAAACGCTGCCCTGGGTGGGCCACTCGGGCCGTAGGTGGAGCTCCCTGTGGGGCCACGAATCGCTGTCCTGGGAGGGGGGAAAGCATGCGAACACCGCCACTGGGGCCGTAGGTGGAGCTCCCTGTGGGGCCGCGAAACGCTGTCCTGGGTGGGGGAGACGCATGCGAACACCGCCACAAGGGCCGCAGGTGGAGCTCCCTGTGGGGCCGCGAAACGCTGTCCTGGGTCGAGAAAAAGCGCATGCGAACACCGCCACTTGGACCTTAGGTGGAGCTCTCTGTGGGGCCACGAAGCGCTGTCCTGGGCGGGGGAGACGCATGCGAACACCGCCACTGGGACCTTAGTTGGAGCTCTCTGTGGGACCACGAAACGCTGTCCTGGGTGGGGGAGACGCATGCGAACACTGCCACTGGGGCCTCAAGTGGAGATCTCTGTGGGGCCACGAAGCGCTGTCCTGGGTGGGGGAGACGCATGCGAACGCCGCCACTGGGGCCTCAAGTGGAGCTCCCTGTGGGGCCAGCGAAACGCTGTCCTGGGTGGGGGAAACGCATGCGAACACCGCCACTAGGGCCTTAGGTGGGGTTCCCTATGGGGCCGCGAAGCCCTGTGATGGTTGGGGGAAACGCATGCGCACACCGCCATTGAGGCCTTCGATGGGGCTACCTGTGGGGCCACGAAACGTGTAAGGGGTGTGGCGGAATTGGTGGCGATGATGGTGACGATAACGGTGGTGATGATGATGATGATGATGATGATGATGATGATGATGATGATGATGATGATGATGATGATGATGATGATGATGATGATGATTATGATTACGATGATGATGATGATGATGATGATGATGATGATGATGATGATGATGTGGATGATGTGGATGATGTGGATGCTGATGATGATGATGATGATTATGATTATTATGATGATGATGATGATGATGATGATGCTGATTATGATGATGATGATGATGACGATGACAGGGCGACGATGATGATGCTGATGATGATGATGAGGATGATGATGATGATGATGATGATGGTGGTGATGCTGATGATGATGCTGATGCTGATGATGATGACGACGACGACGAGGACATGCGCAGGGAAGAGCTAGGGAAGGGAGGAGGGAGGAGGGGGAGGAGGAAGGAAGGAAAAAAGGAAGGAAGGAACGCGGGGACAGTCTTGAAAACGAGGACCCAACACTTCAGGATGGTTGGGAAAAGCCTGAAAACAAAATAGCACGGAACATCGTCCCCAGGCTATTTTTCACTATTCTCGAACCTTCCTCCTGTGGAGGGACATGCCCGACTGAACAATACAGCCCCAAACACATGGAAATGCAGTGGATTCCGCGCACCCCGCACGCACTTCGTGCCCCAAGTAGAGGGCAGAACATCCATCCCCATAATAGTAACCCCGACAAGCGAAGCCGTTTAGTAAACGCCGATTGACGGGGTCTGGGTGGTTTCCTCCCTTGACCAAGAGTCTGAGCTGGCCCCCTGAGCGGCTCATGGGAGCATCGTTTGAGCACAACCATCACGCACTTCGTCCCCGTTAGATCTCTCTGGAGGCCCTCAACGAGGGCCACATGGGCCCCGAAGGGTTCTGAGCTGGCCTTTCAAGACAGCTCAGTGGGGCCTGATTTCGGCTCACCCCTAATGCACTTTGTGTCCCACAAACCTCCCGAGGCCATCAGCTGGCCCTCAAGACAGCCGAATGGATCCATATTTCGACACACCCCTCACGCACTTTGTGCTTTAAGGACCCCCCAGGGCTCTCAGCTGGTCCACCAAGATGGCTCAAGGGAGCCCCATTTCGCCACACCTCTCACGCGTTTCGTGCCAGATGCACACGCTCCTGTGAGTTCGGCAGATCCCTCACGCACACCGTGGCCTGTGGAACCTCGGAGGCCCTCCACGGGCCCGCAAGACGGCTGTAATGGATGCGCATGTCGGCGCACGCCTCACGCGCGTCTTGCCCCCTGGACCCCCAGCACTGGCCCTCGGCCGGCCCTCCCGGAGTGCCCGACGGGACTTTCCCTTCGGCGCAGGTCCCTCGCGCACTGCGTGGCCCATGGCGGCCTCGACGCTGAACCTCCCTGACTGGCACGCGGAGCGCGCCCGTGTCGGCGCGAGGAGGCGCCGCGGAGGGGGCCCAGTGCCGACCCAGGAGATCCGCGCGGACCCTCCTGACTACCCACCTGACCACCCCAACCCAACCCGAAGACCCGAATTTCGGGTTGGGGGGGGTACGGGTTCCATACGTGCTTTTTCAGTGTTCCCCGACCCCCCCCCCACACTGGAAATGGAGGGCAAACTGAGGCCTTCGGGTTGGGTTGGGGTGGTTTGGTGGGTGGTGACCTCCGAGCAATGACGGTGCTGTTTCTGTTGCAGCCGCTCGTCCTGCGACGTGCTGTGCCGCTTTCGACCCCCGGCCTCTGCAGCTCGGCCCGCATGGACCAGAAGGGCTCGGGGCGGAAGCGCCGGATGCGGTCCCAGCGCTCCACGACGAAGCCGAGCGTGGGGAACTGGCAGGGGCCGTAGCTCAGGATCTCCCTGCCCGGGGGAGGCCCAACAATATCCAACTCGCCGACGCGCCAGGACCACCAAGGAGCCCAAGCAGGACGACAGGGGCACGAGGGCGGTGCCGGGTGAGGATAGATCTAGGTCGGGCATGTCCCCCTACAGGCGGATTTTGGGCGGAAAAGAAAAAAGACTCTAAAAATATTCAAAACACAAGCAAAATAGTCCAAACAATCGTCCCCCGACTATGTTTTGACTACTTTTGAACCTCCCTCCTGTAGAGGGACAGGCCCGACTTAAGGATAGATCGGGGATCTCTGCGAGCTGGCGGGTCCGGCGGAGGGCATCGGCCGCTGCGGCCGCTCCAGGGAGCTCCCGAATGCTGTGGTGCGCTCCAGATGGCTCTGGAGCGACTTCCCCTCATCTTAGGCGTAGGTCGGGCCTGTCCCCTTACAGGCGGAATTTGAATGAAAAATCAAAAACCCCTCAAATACTCCGAAAATATTCAAACATGGTATAAACAAATGGTCCCCGTATCATCTTTGGACTGTTCTGGAATATCCCCCCTGTAGAGAGGGACAGGCCCGACTTCTTAAACAAATAGCAGAACAAATGCTCCAGCATACCCAAAACCAGTCCGAACATCGCCCCCGGGCCTGCCTGACCAGGATCGCTGCGTGCACCCTCCTGCCTCGGCCAGGGCCCCGACAGGCCGAGCCCGAGCCCCGCATCGGCGCGGCCCGAGGCGGTGAGGCGCACCTCATTGTTCTCCGAGAGCCGACGGCGCCCGCACGCGCAGAGTCGTGAACGAGCGCGGCAGGAGGCATAGGCTTGGGTCGGGCAGGTCCTCCGACAGGCGGAAACTGGAGGACAGGTAACAAAAAAATAGTCCAACAATGTTCAAACGTAGTCGAGCATTTGTCCCCTGACTCTGGTTTTTGACTCGGGGATGGACAGACCCCCCTTTAGCAAAACGTGGTTTAGTGAAAACGACCTGAGGCCCAAAACTGGCGGGCGCAAGCCTGGAAAATAACGGCCACGGCGCCCTCTCGAGATCCGAAAACGGACAATTCACTAATCGACGTGTCACTGTTGGGGGTTCTGTCCACCCCCGATTGACTATGTTCGACTGTTCCTCCCATAGAGGGGCACGCCCGACTTCACCCTCGACGCAACCTTCTCAGCGGTAATTTTTGTACGAGCCGGACCGCTCCGCGACGGCCCCGCGGCCCGAAGCCCTGGGCGGCCACGCCCAGTGCAGCGACCATCGCAGGGGGTGCCCAGGTCAGGTCGGGCGCGTCCCCCTACAGGCGGATTTTGGAGGAACGATTAGGGATAGTCACTAGTCCAAAAACATGCAGAAAGGTCAAAAAGTGTAAGAAAAAACATCGTCCCACAATTAGTTGTGAACTATCTTTTGAGATTCCTCGTGTAGAGGGACAAGCCCGACTTGATGCTAAGAAGACAGGAAGCCGATGATCTGATGCTGACCCAGACCCCTCGCGCTGTGAAAAATCACGACGGGAGGTTCCTCGCTATTTTCGGCCCCGGCGGGCCCTTACCTGCCCTCGGGACCGTCAAAAAACGACTCAGGATGAAAAGCCGGTCCCGGGGCAAGGGTCCAGACCTCGAGGGTTCGCGTCATGAAAAAATCATGACGTCGAGGTCTGGGGAAGAAGGTGGGTTACACATGGCCCAATCTGGCTCAAGTGGGTTACAAGTGCCCTGAGTGGGGGATCTGTCACTCAACAAAACTCGCGGAGCCCGCTTAGTCCGGATCCTTACCCATCCTAGACAACTACACGACACCAATGACCCGCATATAATCCAGGTCAGCTCCGATACAACCCGCCTCAGATAACCTGTCCCCCTCAGAAACCCACGGCGATCTCAGTGTGAACAGAAATCGGCGCGGGGATCTCAGTGGTTGACGTCCCGAGGAAGTAACAACTGCGTGTTACAAACTTTCGACGGTGGATCGGCGCGGATCGGCGCTGGAGACCCCTCCCTGGCGCGCGGGGCGGGCCAGGGGCGGCGCCGGAGGAGACGCCAAGGGGCTCCAGGTCTGTGCGGATTTCGTGGGTCGGCGCTGGAGCTCCTCTCTGACGCGCGGATCGGGCCAGGGGCGGCGCTGGAGGAGACGCCAAGGGGTTCCAGCGCCGATCCACGGAATCCGCGCGGAGCTCCGAAAAGTTATGGTTATGCAATCAGTTCTCCCTCTTCGATCACAGAGGTTGCCGTCCGCTTGCCATCGCTCCGGCGTCCATTCCTCGTAATTGCACGGTTCGGTGTCGTGCGTGGCTTCTCCCGTTCTCTCGACTTGAAGATCCACGATGCTCCAATATGGTTCAGCTGTTCTGGAGCTGGCCTTAGGTAGGGCATGTCCTCCTACAGGCGGATTCCGGACGAACAATTTATCCCACCCCCAGACATGCTCCAAGAATGTTCAACAATACTAAAAAACATGGCCCCCAGGCTATCTCTCAAAACTATTCCTGAATAGTCCTCCTGTAGAGGGACACGCTCGACTTCGCGCTGGCCTCGCCGGCAGGAGTGCACACGCCCGAGCGATGCCAGAGGTGCCGCGGCCTGCCCAGCTCCGGGAACATCGGCTGGTAGCGCAGGGACATCCAGCGCGTGAACGCCGCGCCGCAGCGCAGGTCGATCTCCGACCGCGCCTCCACGGCGTCGGCCAGCCGCGGGTCCGGGGCCCTCAGCGTGGCGCACGCCCGCAGGAGGTCCTCGCGCGTGAGCGCGGAGAAGACGGCGCGGAACACCTCCGAGGAGGCAAGCAATGCATAGAAACCCACGCTTTGGGGAGGCCCGTGCAGGCATCCGGGGATCGGCGTTGGATCTCCCCTCCCTGGCGCGCGGAGCGCGCAAGTGGCGGCGCCGGAGGCGGCGCCCGGGGACTCCAGCGCCGATGCGAGGAACCTGCGCCGACCTCCAAAAGTCTGTGTGTATGCTCATGTTGAGGTCGGGCATGTCCCCCTGCAGGCGAACCTTGAAGGGAAAGTGCAAGAAAGTCAATCCAAACTCGAGCATAGTCAACATAAGAGCACGCGCAACCGTCCCCAACTCATTTTCTAACCATTCTCGAGTACTCCTCCCGTGGAGGGGCATGCCCGACTTGAGCTCATGCAGCTCCGTTCTTCGTCGGCGCCTGCAGGCGGCCGCCCGCCGCCTGCTGACAGACGTCGATCACCTCGAAGGCGATCGCCTCGCCCTCGCGGTCGCAGTCCAGCCAGAGCACCAGCCAGTCCGCCTGGTGAGCGTTTTCTTCTTCGGCGTTTCGACATTGGGCGCCAGGGGGGGGCGAGGGGGGGGTCCTGGCTCCAGACCTCTGCTTAGTGCGGCTGTTTGGATCAATGCGTCCCTCGCGGGAGAGACCCCACCTGCTCGGAACAAGCGCCCAAAACAGCCAAGATCCACTCCGTGGGGGTGGGGGGAGGGGGGGGGCGAGGGCCCGCGCCGATCGGCAAAACAATGAATAAAAAACCGCTCACCTGGCGGGACAACTGCTTCAAGTTGCGGTCGATGTCCTCCAAGGCCGGGCTGACGGCGATGTTGCTCAACGGTGATGTTGAGAAAACCAAAGAGTAGGACATCACGAACCACACACTTTCTTACACGTTCAATCTGCGAGCGGATCGAGCGTACACGACACAGCGAATTGTAGGAAAGCGCAAGCCACGCATTCCCACCACACCGAAACCTACACCGCCGTTAGCTACATCGCCATTCACCCGTCTACGGGTCCTGGCAGTCGGGGAGGATGTGGCGCTGCATCGGAGCGGTAAAGAGGCTCGCGGGCGTGCAGGACGACCAGGACTTAAGCTCGGGCCCGAAGTCGTGCCCGATGAGGTGGCCGCGCACAGCGCTCACGGTCATGCGGCAGTTCGTTCCCCTCAGATTGAAGGGGAACTCCTGCAAGGATGCACACAATCTGATGAGATAGTATGTCGATGGACAAGATATCTCTTTTCCATCTTGAGCCAAAATGGGTGCACGGAGGAGGGTGTCAGAATCACTCCTCCTCGGGCCTGGCCGCCAACCCGGCCAGGCACGACCTACGTCGTACGCGGGCGCGCCCAAGCCGACGCGCCCATCTCATCAGCCAGGCTGCGGCCATGCCGCGAGCCCCTCACTCCGTCCGGCGCGATCATACCGCCGCCGGCGGAACCTCATCCAGCCCCACAGGTAGCGGAGCATGGATTCGATCCACTCCATCACTTGAAGTCCTTCTGAGTCAAACTCGGTGTCCGATCCCAGATGTTGAGCGTCGCCATGTGTCTCCTCAAAAGGGATCCACCCACTCTCTTGGTCAGCACGTCCGCGACATTGTTCTTACCAGGAACCGCGGCGATCGAGAGGTCGCCCTTACCCACGCGCTCCTGGATCCACAAGTATCGTGATTGAACATGTCGCATCTTCCCGAGACCCCGCCGTTGGACGTGGCCCCGGGCCGCCGATGAATCCGAGGCGAGCTCTACCTTCAGGTCCAGCCCCCAGTCCGCGAAGAGGCTGTGAAGGCCCAGGCCCACGCTCCCGCCCTTCACCAGGGCGTAGTACTCGCTCTCTCCGCTGCTCAAAGAAACCGTCGACTGCAGATTACTGCCATGCTTGACGACATGATGCCCCAGCATCGCCACGAAGCCTCCGGTGCTCTTCCGGGTGACTGCGCAGCCCGCATGATCGGAGTCCACGTACACCCGGATCTTGTCGAACATCTTCTGCTCCGTGAAAACCGTCACCGTGCTAGGATGCCGCTTGAGGTAGCGGCCAACCCTCTTGAGCATGAGCCAACTCGCCTCCGTTGGCGTCTGCATGGACCTAGCGAGCGTCTTTGATGCCTCTGCCAAGTCCAGCCTGTCCTGAGACAGGTAGGCCACCCTCATGGTGAGGGATCGGAAGCGCGAAGCTTCCGCTGCTCCCAACGCCGCCGACTTCGCATCCATCATCTGCTTGTCGGCGCTGCGCTTCTCCATCGGCGTGTCCACGCCGTTGGCCTTGCTGAGACCCAACTCGTCGATCACGATCTCCGCGTGCCGCTTGTCCGGCTCGATCATCGCATGCCGGCAGGGCCGGCCACCGCCAGGCGGAACTCCCGCACTGACCTCGATGACCCGATTCAGGAAGACCGCCTGCTTGTCATCGCCCTCGTCGAAGCCTAGGTTCGCAGTCTTCTTGAACTCGTACTTCTTGCCCAGCGTGGCCTCGAAGCTGTCGATGTCCTGCTGCTGAGCCAGCACCGCGAAGTCGTCGCCGTGCCCCAGCAGCCTCGTCTCGTCCACCTCCTTGTAGAAGACCGCTGGGCACGACACGCCCGCCTTGTAGCCGTGTTCCTCCAGCAGCTCCGTGTAGTCGCCCTGCCAGATCTTGCTGGCGTCCTGCGTGCCGTACCAGGACTTGAGGAGTAGGCCGCACTTGTCCTCGCCGTACTCCTTGCGACTCTCCTCCTCCAGCTCTACGAAGATCCTCCGCTGCGCCTTCCCGTAGAAGTGCGCCCTGCTGATGTCGAAGAAGCCGATCTTGAAATTGCCCGGCTTCCTGCCCTTCTTGCGAAGCGACTCCTGAATGTGGAGCGGTGCTTCCCGCGTCCACGTGACCATCAGCGAGACCAGCGACCGCGTGGCCTCCAGAGGAGGCATGGCCGAGAAGACCTCGGACGCCTCCAGCTGCTCGTCGGGGCGCTTCTTCGCCTTGATCTCCTTCACGACGAGCCTGATCCTGTAGTTGGGCCTCTCCGCGTCACCCTTGTTCGTGTCGACCCACTTGAGTGGGATGGGCGGACGCCCAGTCTCGGCGAAAGCCTGAGACCTCGGGACGATCTCGATCAGCTCCTGCTTCTTGACCCACTCGCGCTCGACCGCGCGAGCCTGGGCCACAAGGCCCGCCTCCAGGTAGCCGCCATTGACGTCGTCCCAGTAACTCGTCCAGTCCCCGGGCGGCACTGCCGCGTCCACAGGGACTGGGCCCGACTGCTGCACCTGGGCGGTGCTGAGCTCTCCCACGTCATTCAGCGTGTCCTTGAGCTCCTCCAGCACCGCCTCTACCAACTTCGGTGGATAGACCTTCGCGAACCGCGCGATGCCGCCCACGAGCGTGATGTGGCGATGCCATTCCGCGCGGCCGTCCACATTGCTGCAAGTGCCCTGCAGCCTCCGGGCTAAGCCTGGATGGTTGGTGACCCATCCGGTCTCCTTGCGCACGAACTCCTCCTGACCACTGCGTGGGTTCGTGAGCTTCATGCCCCACCGACACATGGGGCCTTTGACCGTGAAGACTCCTGGATGCGCGACCAGCTCCTTGACGATGTCCTCATTCCACGATCGCGCGCTCCAGGGATGCTCATGCAGGAAGTACCTGCCTGGCTTCCTGAGCTGACGCCAGTAGGCGTCGACTGCCACCTTCAGGTGGTGTCTGGCCTCCTCCATCTCAGCCGCCTCCTGCTCATCGGTCCTGAACTTGGCGCTCAGGCCCCTCAGCAAGCTGAACTTCTCGCATGGAGGGGACCCCGTGAGCAGGATGGGATCCATCCGCTCCTGCTGCTTCTCGAGCTCCTTGACATCCTCGGGGCGCCGCAAGTCCCACGGCGCCCCGTCCTCCTTGAGTTCCTCCAGGTCCGCCGCGAAGCCCGGGCGCAGCTGAAATTCCGCTGCCCGAGCCGAGAACCGATGTGGCGAGTACACCTCGGCCACGTCCACGGCGCCCAGCTGCAACGCCGATAGGGCGATGCCATCCACTTCTTCGTCGGCGATGTCCACGCCGACGCTGGCCCAATGGCCGCTGACCTGTTCGCGAACGAGCGGGAGCAACTCCGCCTTCGCTCTCGTCAGCACTCCGAGCTCAACCAGCTCGATCGACGCCATATCGAGGGCGAGCACCCGCATGTGCCTCCCCTCACTGGCGTTCCACACGACTGCCACTCCAGCTGGCAGCTGAGGTCCTTCCGCTGGCGCCGGCTGCGCCGCGAGATCCTCCATGTCCACCGGTACCGGCACGTCTGCCGGCTGTGGATCACCGCGCTCGAGGGCCTCCGGCACGTCATCCGGGGCCACCTCTGCCAAGCGCTTCAGCCGCGACCTGGCTGCGGTCATGTCGACATCCGCGGCGGCCTCTGCCGCTCGCGCCGCTCCCGAACTGGAGCTCGCTCCTCCTGAAGGAGCCGCCGCGCCGAAGCCCGGTGCTACCGGCTGGCTCTCTCGCATGCGCGCCGCTGTGGCTGCCACGGCTGGCGCTGCTGCCGATCGGGCCGCGGCCGGCGCGGCCGATGCCGCTGCCGCCGCTGCCACCGGCTCGGTGATCCTCCGAGCCGTCTTCGGCGGAGGGGTCCCTGCCGCGGCCGCTGCCGCTGGTCGGACTCTGGCCTCTTGGCCCTGCCTCCGTTCTCGATACTGGCCGGTCCTTTCCCGGCCTGCCTCCTCCGCGTCCATCGCTTCGAAGATCCTCTTGCTGCACACCGCGTTGTGCGCGTGGCCAGCCAGCACCCGGCCGTGCTTGGCGATCGAGACGCACCCTGGGCATCCCGGCGTTGCGCCCAGCCGCTCGACGTCCGCCTTGAGGACGTACATCCTCCTCGGCGCCTGCGGCTGCGGCGACACCACCACAATTGGTGGCGGTCCGACCTCTCCAGGTCCGACGATGGCCCGCGGCGCGCTTGCCGCACGCGGAGCCACGTCCCACGGCAGGCCCTTCAGGCCATCCCAGCCCGCCGTGATCCACTTCTCGCTCTGCGGCAGGCTGCGAAAGCCGACCGCCTTCTTCGCGCCGTCGCTCGTGATGACCATCATCGAGCCGTCGCGCGGGTGGTGGCCGATGTAGCGAGCCTCCACCATCTGTTCCTCCAGCGCGTTCTTCCTCGCGCGCTCCCCGGCGAACCGCGCCATCAAGCGCTCGCCGAAGAGCGGGACCGGCTTCCTCCACTGCCGTCCCGTGAGCCGCTGGAGAGCGGTCTTGCCATCCTGGCCGCGCCGGTATCGGTTGATTACCGATGCGGCGTGCTCCGGCAGGTGCGCTAGCACCGGGTGCTTGTCCTCCACCTTGACGCCCAGCTTGGACTCCAGGTCCATCTTGAGCGCCCGCACCTGCTTCTTAATCTCGCGCACCGTGACCTCGATCTCCCCATTGGCCTGATGATCGGCCGGTGCCGACTCCTGGGGAATGGCCTCGAGGCCAGGAACCTCCTCCACCGCACGCCTCTTGACCAACAGGATCGCCGGCTCGCCGTCGGACTTGTTGACGATCTTCCTGTAGCCCAGGATCCGCAAGAAGCGTGCGAAGAACTTGATGGCGCAGGCGTCGTCGCCCTTCTTCTCCACGAATGTCGCTGCCATCATCTTCGAGCGCCGATCCCTAAGTACCAGCATCGGCATGGTGTCCGCGTCGTCCTGGCCCATGAAGGCGTAGTCGGACGAGACCACCGGCACCGCCGTCTCGTCGTCCTCCGGTGCGCGGAGATGCGGCTGGCCTTGGCCCTTTGCCGCAATACACACGCGACACCAGCTGCGATAAGTCGCGTGTCCCATCGCCTCGTGTTCGTCGATCTCCCTCTGAGAGGGCTCATGAGGTGCCTTCAGCACTCTCGGGCGAGCCTCCTCCTCGCCCTCGTCGGCCTGCTGTCCATCAGGAGCAGCTGGCAAAGCGTCGGCCGCAGCAGCTGCCGCTGGCTGAAAACCCGGCGGTCTCACGTCGGAAGGTCCCGACCCCGCCGCTGCCGCCCCCGCAGCCGATGCCGCCGGGGGCCGTGGTATTAAGTCCTCCAGTGGGCTTACGCCGAGGGCTGCCTCCTGGGGACTGTCTTCTCGAGGATCTCCAGCAGCTCCTCCTTCGACTTGCCGCTGAGGAGCTCCACTAGCTCGGACTTCGACTTCGCCGAAAGTCCCTCCTCGAGAGGAGCAACCGAGCCATGTTGGCCCTTCTTGAGGTAGAAGTTGTAGACGCCCTGCTCGCGATAGACCGGCAGCATCTGGTGCTTCGCCGCCTTCGCCTCCTTCTCGAGCATGCCTACCACGCGCTTGCCGATTGGGCTCTTCTCGTGGAATATCCAGCCGCCATTGCGACCCAGGAATGAACACTGTCCAGCTCCTGCTGCCTGCCCCACCGAGATCAACGGCTTGTGCACGTTCGTCACGCGTCCCTTGAGTGCTCGTAGCACTCCGTACTCGTCCTCCGCCTTGAGCTGCAAGCTGCCCTCGTCCGGGACGAGCTCACCACTGGCCGTACGATACGTGCTGCCGTTGCCCTCCATTCCCGTCGGCGGCGCGAAGCTCCGAGGGAATGCTGAGATAGCTGCACCGCTGTCCCAGTTGAACTTCATCCAGTCGTCCTGCGCGAAGGGGGAGAGGTCGACCGCCGCTATGCCGCGGCCGCTGCCGCTGGCGAGCTCCAGGCAGTCCAAGCTGCCCATGTCCAGAGCGGCGACCTCCGCTTCAGGCTCCTCCTCCAGGCTGCCTGCCGCCTTGCCGCCGGCCTTGCCGCCGCGGCTACCGACTTTACCACCAGCGCTTGCCCCCGTTGCGGATCCAGTTCCAGCCCTCGTACTCGATCCCTGCTCTTTCCTCCAGCAGTCGGATGCCTTGTGGCCCCATCTCTCGCAGTTCCGACAGTAGCCGTCGAAGCGCCCGCTGGTGCTTCGAGGTGCCGTGTGCCCTGAACCACGGCCCGAACCCGTCGGGGATGTGCGGGAGCCTGAGTATGATCCGTTCGTCGATTTGCTCTTCCCCTTCGGCTCCTGAGTCTTGCCTTTCCCTTTGCTCTTGCCGTCCTTGCCCTTGCCTTTGCCTTTGCCTTTCGGGGCTCCGAACGATCCGACGTCCATGTCGTCCGGATGATGCGCCCGCGCACGGATCGATGGCTCCTTGATCTTCACGCCGGTCCAAGCCTCTACGATCGTCATTACCTCGTTCAGACTGTCCTGGAACGTTACGAGCCGATGCTTGTTGAGTACGAGGTGGTTCTCGATGTCCTGAGGCACGAGCATCTCGAGGGCCGCCATCTTGATATCCTCCGGCAGCTCGGCCAGACCATCTTCTCCTTGGCGGCGTTCGTACCTGCCTATCTGCTGGATCCACTTCTCTAAGGCGGACCCCAGCTCGTCCGCGCTGCACTTCGGAGGCGAGATGATCGACCTCAGGATCAGCCTCTTCCTCGGGCCTGTCGTCGGATCCCACCTGCGGTGGAGCTTCCGCCAGGCTTCGAGACCGTTCCCGTCGGGGGCGCCCGTCACGAGGTCGTTGCTCTCGCTGCCGTCCGCCGTCGTGCTGAGCAGCGCCGCGTACAGCTGGTTGACCTTGGTCTCCAGCTCTGGAACTCCGTCGTGCACCGCCCGAGCTCCCTCGATCGTCACGGGGCGTTCGGCTTCGGCTGCCCACCGAAGAACAGGGCGAAAACTCTCTCCGTACACGCCGATCACGTAGTTCTCCATCTTGCGATTCCAGGCGCCGAACTTTTCTTGGTCGTCGCCCATCGTCGTGGGCTTGCCGATCCCCTTGGTGTCTACGAGACCTTGAACGGCTCCACCCGCGCTCGTCGCGCCTCTGATCTGCTCGCCCATCCGCTCGATCGCCTGCGGGATTGCCGCGAGGCCTCCTGCCACCTGCTGCTGAAGACGCTGATTCTCGTTCTCCAGCCTCCTCATCTCGTCGGCTGCCTGACCTATTTGAGCCGCGAACTCCTGCCTCAGCAGTTCGAACTGATGCCGAACCTGCTCGTCCATGTTTGACAGCGTGTCTCTCGGCGAGCTCCTCCCTGCTCTCAGCTATCTCCTGCCTCGTACGCTCGAGGTCCGTGATCCGTCCTAGGACTTCCTTCTGCGTTCTCTCGACAACGTCTGAGGAGTTCTCCGACGGATGGTCCTCGATGTGTGCGAGGTCACGAAGCCTGTCGCCTGCCTCCCTCAAGTCGTGCTTGAACTGGAGCTGCTTGCGCCTGGTCTCGATCGCTGCGTCGCTCCTCTTGCCGCGCCTGCGGCCACTCTTCCCGGCCCCTGCCGGTTGCTCGGTCGCTGCCGAGCTCGCTGCGGCCGATGCCGCCCTCTTCCAGCCTCGAGCTTCCTGCCAGCTCGCCGTGGCGCCCGCGGACGCGGCGCGCCGAGGCCTTGGTGGGGTCGGCAGCAGTGAGTGGCCAGCTCACGCTACCATGATGAGATAGTATGTCGATGGACAAGATATCTCTTTTCCATCTTGAGCCAAAATGGGTGCACGGAGGAGGGTGTCAGAATCACAATCGCACTACTGAGCATAACTGCGTCGACACCCATCAGCCCAGGACACCCAAGAGGCTGCCTCGGAGGGGTGTGCCGAGCGAGAGAAACGTTCAGCCAACGTGAACATGTCAATTCTGATTGCATCCCTCGGAAGAACACATTGACTTGGCCGAATGTTTCCCAGACGGCACCAAGCGAGTAACGATTAATCTTAAGTCGGGCGTCCCCCTACAGGCAGATTTCGGGCGAAACAAAAGAAAAACAAATAACATACTCAAACATACTTCAAACAAATCAAACACTATCGTCCCCAGACTATTGTTTTGACAATTTCTGATTTTTCCTCCTGTAGAGGGACACGCCCGACTTAGTATTACTTGCCTTCGCGTCCCCGCGCCGCCCCTTGGTAAGAAGCCGGCTCCCAGCCCTCGGCCGAGATGCGCATGGGCCTTCGCGCCCCTGCGGTGGCATGGGTCATGTAGGGTTCGGTCGGGCATGTCCTCCTACAGCTCGGGTAGGGGATCGCCTACAGAAGTGATTTACCCCAGAATTAGTTTCCCCATCGAATCTACGCAACAATGCGTAGAATTTTCCGCAGATCTACAGACCAGTCGATCTACTTTTCGTAGATTCGATTGGGAAATCAATTCTGGGATAAATCAATTCTGTAGTCGATCCCCTGTTTGAACAGTCAGAACACATTCAAAAGTACTCAAAAGTAGTAAAATAACTCGTCTCCAGACAGCTTTTTCATACTGTGTTTGACTATTCCTCCTGTAGAGGGACGTGCCCGACTCAAATGACGACTGGCGGTTCGAAAAAAAAACAGGGGCAACGATCAGAAGGCCCCCGGCCGCAGGGAAACGTGGTGCAGAGGACGGTCAGAGGCTCTCAGCGGCGTCGACGCCCACGAGCAAGCTCGACGAACCCGATGCACTCATCATCGCCCAGGGGGCCGCTGCGTGGCGGGCCCCGCCGGGCATCTCTGCACTGCCCTACTGCATCCGGTATACCCACGAGGGCCGGCCACGGCGGCGGCAAACCTGAGAACCGACCGACCCGACGGCGACACCGACACCGACCGCAGCTGACAGGCCGCGAGCAGCCTGAACTGGCGCAGCGACGCAGCCGCGGCACGATCACCGACCGAACCGAATCGACCGAACGCGACCGACGCTGACGCAGCCGAGCCGACCGAACCGCGGAAACCCTTGTCTGCCTCACCGCGCGGACTCCGGCACGTGCATGCCCTGCGCCGTGCACATCCCTCCTCACCCTGCGTCAACCCGCCCTCGGCGAGTCGCAGCCGCCCGATGCCGGAATGCCGACGAGAAGCCACGAGAACCCTCGCGAAATCCTCGGACCCCGAAGTCTTGTGCATTCCTCCCTGAGCCCTGAGCCTATCCCTCCCTCGACGGTGCTCCTGATCTTGAAGGCGGCTAGGGGGTCTGACCTGGCTGGGGCCCCAGCAAAATCGGTCAGGCGGGGGGGATGAGGCCAACTCGGCTCAGAGTCGGTCCCCAGAGCCCTCCCGGGAGGAGGGGGAGGAGGAGGGGGAGGAGGAGGAGGAGGAGGAGGAGGAGGAGGAGGAGGAGGAGGAGGAGGGAGGAGGAGGAGGAGGAGGAGGAGGAGGAGGAGGAGGAGGAGGAGGAGGAGGAGGAGGAGGAGGAGGAGGAGGAGTCTGGTGCATGCGTCCTGTCGCGCTGGATCCGCTGTTCGCAGCCCCGGGGCCCGCGGGCGGCCCTCGGAGGCCGCAGACGGCAACAGCAGCTTCCCGGGCCCAGGGCCTCGAGCCTGCCCGCCCTTCCTGCCCGTCCATGAGAAGCCTTCCACAGGAGGCCCAAGCGTGAAACCCCAGGGCGTCCGTTGCCTTCTGGCGTGGGCGCGTCACGCGTACCATAAGCAGAGCCATCGACACCCGAGGAACGCATGGGCACCCTGGAGGCAGGCGGGGTGCTTCTTGGCGCGGGCCCCCACTGCTGCAGTGCTGGGCCACCTCGGACCCTTGGACGGCTCCAGCCCCGCTCGGCCCCCCCCCCGCGAGGGCTCCGACACGTGCATGCCGTGCGCGTCCCTCCTCTGATGGGCAAGCTTTCCACCACTACTACCACTATGTAGGACGGGGGGAGAAGGGAGGAGGAGGAGGTCCTCCTCCTCCCCCTCCCCCTCCCCTCCCTCCTCCTCCTCCTCCTCCTCCTCCTCCTCCTCCTCCTCCTCCTCCTCCTCCTCCTCCTCCTCCTCCTCCTCCTCCCCCTCCTACCCATGGCAGCGGTGGTGGAAAGTGGGCCCACCGTCCTCTGCACGCCCGCCCCGCCCAGGTGCCGCGTGATCTCGCGGGCCACCGACGGCTTCTCCGCCACGTTGAGCACCCGGACCTCCCTCGGCATGGCCCCCGCGGGGCGCCGCCGCCGCAGGCCCCGCGGCGCGCCTCCGCGGCCCCAGGGCGCGGCCCTGCCCGGCCGGCGCCGCCCGCGGCCAGCATCCGCGCCCACCTCGCCGCCCAGCGGCTCGGAGGCTCTGCGACGGTTGCGTGGTGACCGCCCCCTGATCAAAAGCAGGGCCGCCCCCCCCAGGCCCCCTCGCGCTGCGAAAAAATCGCGACGGGAAGTGTTTCACTCCTTTCGGCCCCTGGGGGCCCTCACCAGGCCACGTGACCGTCAAAGAACGACTCGGGATGAAAAGCTGGTCCCGGGGAATGGGTCCGGACCTCTGGGGGTCGCGTCATGAAAAAATCGTAACTTCGGGGGACTGGGCTGCTGGGCGTGAGTGGACAGCTCTCCGCCGCCATCTTGTGGTCATGAAGGAGACCGCGTCTGCATCGCAGAGCGGGGGGGGGCCTGGTGGGCAAACACCTGGCCCCGAGGTCTGGCCGCCGCGATCGCCGCGGCGACCTCCCAAACCGACCCAGAGGCTTTTGGTTCGGGATCGGACATCACGCAACGATGCGAGGGGCCAGCTGGATGACCGCCCAAGATCCTCGAGCACACGCTGGCCCTCGAGCCTATAAAAGCTTGTGTGTGGGCCGTCCGGGCAACGTGAGGCCGCCCGCTGGCAGGGCAATGGTCTTGACCCATCCGCACACGCCCTCCATCCTGGTATGGAGGAGGGGGGGCGCGATGGATTAGAGCGTGTAATCTGGACTCAGGTAGCCACAGATGGCCTCTATTACTCAAGATAGCGCAAGATGGCTCAACACACGCCCCAAGAGGCCCCAAGACCGCCCCAAGACGGCTCCAAGTGGCCTCGAGAGCCTCTTTTGGACGCCTCCGAGAGGCCAAACTCCTTCTCGAACCTGAGGAACCTCAATGAAGTTAGCCTTCTCGTGGGTTAGCCTTAACCTCCTCGCTCCCGATGGGCTTTGAGGACTCATGGTGGCTCCAAGATGGCCCAAGAGAGCTCCACGAGTAGCCCAAGAAGGCCTAAAGACGGCCCTGAGAATGTCCAGGAGCGCGCTAAGAGAACCCGAAGAGGCGATGTGCAGGGCTCTTGCGAGGGGGCTTACATTGAGAGCCCCCCTTCGCTCAAAGCCAAAAGAGTTGAACTAACCCGAGGTTGTTGACGGATGTTGAATAGGTATCCTGGGAAGGCTTGTGGGCCAAGATGGCAAGATGGCTCCGAGATGTCTTCAGATAGCTCAAGATGGCGCAATAGTTCCTCTCACACCGGCGCATCAGCTGCACCGCCCAAGGAAAAGGCTACGGGGAGGGGAGGGTGCAGGGGAGGAGCCTCAGACGCAACGAAAAAATGTCACGAATTCCGGCCCCAAAATGCGATGACACGGAGGCCGAGGACGGACGATGATGTAACCAGCACCTTTTGCTACATAACATCCTGGTGCAATCTACATTGTCTCATAAACTGCGGATTGGGAGTGTGCGCCACCGCGCGCTCCCCCTCTTTGGGCCCGGCTCCGCGCCCACCACGGGGTCGCGCCGTTCCAGAGGGAGCAAAGAGGTAAGCCGGTAGCGGCGGCGCCACGTCCGCCGGCGGCCCCAAGGGGAGGCGCACACCGCCAACCCCCAGAACCGGGCACCAAGGCCCTACCGAATACCCCCCCCTTTGGTGGCTTGCCCAAGAAATCCTCACCTCACAGGGCGGGCTGGGCGGGACAAGCGTGCGACCACACACCTGTCCTAGAGCCAAAATGTCAACGGACCGTGCTATGCATCATGCTGCCGGTCCGCATGCTGCTACTCTATGCTGCCCTACTCGCGTTCAACTGGCACTGAAGCATGAGTAGGTTAGCACTGCCAAAAGCACAAGAACACAGGGAACCGTTTTCCGGTCACCTGGGCGTTTCCCCGCGGATCCGCACATTTTCGGTGTACCGGTCCATCCGTGCATTCTGGGGCAGAGAGGCTGCACTCTTCACACATCCCTGCAACCCCTCCTCCCACTCACCCCCACCCGCAGCAGGGCTTCGCTGTGACTGCGCACACGCGCGTGCTTCACCACACCGGCGCATCAGCTGCACCGCCCAAGGAAAAGGCTACGGGGAGGGGAGGGTGCAGGGGAGGAGCCTCAGACGCAACGAAAAAATGTCACGAATTCCGGCCCCAAAATGCGATGACACGGAGGCCGAGGACGGACGATGATGTAACCAGCACCTTTTGCTACATAACATCCTGGTGCAATCTACATTGTCTCATAAACTGCGGATTGGGAGTGTGCGCCACCGCGCGCTCCCCCTCTTTGGGCCCGGCTCCGCGCCCACCACGGGGTCGCGCCGTTCCAGAGGGAGCAAAGAGGTAAGCCGGTAGCGGCGGCGCCACGTCCGCCGGCGGCCCCAAGGGGAGGCGCACACCGCCAACCCCCAGAACCGGGCACCAAGGCCCTACCGAATACCCCCCGCTTACGCCACGGTGGCGTTCCCAAACTTGCTACACTTACGGCATCTCTGGTGCACTGGAGTTGCAGCCCACGTCGATGAAGTCGCTGGCACGCCGCCACAGATGGCCCAGTTCCAGCCGCAGTGCGTGGAGGCCACGCTCGCAGCCACGTGCAGCTTGCCGTCGACGCACTGGACGTACGTGGGGGGGCCCTGCCCCGCCAGCACCGCCACATCTCCCTGCAAGAGTGCAACGTCCTCCCGCAATGTCTTCAAGGTGCGCTCCGCTGCCTCCGCGGCCGGGGTGATCTCGGCCAGGAGCCTGGGGAGCAGCTCCTCCGAGAGGGCGCCGACGTGGCACTCGACGATGGACTTCACGCTCTGCTGGGAGACGCCTCCCATGATCTTGGCCATCTTGCCCGCTTCCTGCAACAGCCTGTCGTGGACGTCGTCGAGTACAAGCCCGTCTGGTTCTTCCACGCGCCGGGAGATGCCGCCACCTCGGGAGCCGAGGGCGGCGTCCCTCACGTACCGCAGCACCGCCGAGCTCCCCCACCTCCCAAAGATCTGCACCACGGAAATCGGGTAGACCGCGGCCATGCGCTGCGCCCCCGCCACCCGCGCAGAGTGGCCCGTGATGTGCAAGTCGTCGACGCCCATTAGCTCCACCACCTCACGATAGAACTTGACAGTGCTGTCCTTGGACACGGGCTGCCCGAACCCGTCCACGATGAGGGGCCACTGCTCTTCGAGAATCCACCGGCCACCCAGCCAGCAGCGCCCTTGCTCGTCGCGCCGCGCCTTGGCCCTGGCATCCAAGGAGGCGCCGACCACGCGGCGCAGGGCTGCCACCGGGCATAGGGGCGCAGGGCACGCACAGCCAAGGCAGCGCTTCTTTCCAAGCGCCCGCACGTCTGCTTTGGAGGCGGGCAACAGCCACTCCGCGCAGCCGCATGGCCCCTCCTCCTCGCCCATGGGGTCGAAGAAGACAATGTGCTGGACCATCGCGGCGGAGGACTCGATCTCGCGCAACATCCAAGCTGCTGACGCGACCATGACATCGACGCCCGCCGCTGGCCATGCATCCCGGCTCCCGCGCGAAATTTGGTCCAAAGCGCCTTGACTTCGCAACCGATCGATGGGCAATGGGTCCGCCTGCCGTGCCGGGCCCATGCCCCTCTCCAGCGACCGGACCGCATCGCTGCAGGCCAGTTTCAACTGGTCCGTCCACGGGCTCCCCAACAGGACGTGCTGGCGCTTCATCGCCGATATGTAGGCGGCCCCACTCCGGTAGCAGCCGCGCCTCAAGAGCGCCCCCGCGAGCTCCACCAACTCCGCACTTAGTGGGAACGGGGCGAGCTTCCGCGCACTGCAGCGGTCGTACCACCATTGGAGTCGGGACCTATGCGAATCTCTGCTTGTCTTCGCGAAGCGGGCGGGCCTCAACGCCTCCACGGCGTTGGCATCTTCGGCAAAGGCGTCCAACCCCTTGGCCGCGCCCTTCCTGCACGGCCGCTGCGCAGGAGCCAGGTCGTGCCAAGGGTGCCCGTCGCCCTCGCCGCCCCCTCCCGGAGCGCGGGCGCCGCGTACCTTCCTGCGCTTCCAGCTGGGCGCAGGGCAGCCTTTCCTGCGCGCGACCTGCTCGGGGACCGCCGCAGAGACGATGGACGCGTCGTCGTCGCTCGACTCCGATCCCGACTCGCCCTCTGCCGGGCCATCCACGCCCGCAGAGGAGTTGCGCCCCGTCGCGGGGAGGTGCCGCCCCCGAGCGCCGCGCTCCGCCAAGGCCTGCTGCCTCCTGGCGAGCGCGGACGCCTGCAAGCGAGACGCGACGCCAGGCTGACAGGCCGCCGGGCCCTCACCAGCGCCTTCCAGCTCGGCCCTGCGAGCGCTCACTTCTGACGCAGTCGCGGCAGCCCGGGCGCGCGCCAGCGCGGATCCTGGCGCCGTCGCTCGACCCTCGCCACCGCCATCACTGCCCCCCGCCTGCGCCGACAGGGCCAAGGCCCTGACAGAGGCGAGATGCCTTGCGGTGGCTGCAGATGCCATGGCCACGAAACGGCTGCAGCTGCTGGATCGGGCGCCGCCCGATGCTCGAGGCAAATGGGTACGGATGCCCTGCCGACCAGCAGGGGGAGGTGGGAGGGGGAAAGGCCGGCGCGCACAGCACGGCCGATCCTCGCGGGCAAAACCATGCCCACGCGGCAGCACCAAATAACACGCGAGGAGCCCTGCCGACCAGCAGGGGGGCGGGAGGAAGAGCCGGCAGGCATGCGCAGCACGGCCGGAATACGGGGCACGACCATGCCCAGGGTGGCGACGAGCACTACCATGCCCATAATTTTTTTCAACCATTCCACCCATACGCCACTGCAGACACGAAGGCGGGCTCCGGCAGCGCTCACAGCATGCCCAATGCCGCCCGCCAGCGGCCTAAACTGACCGCGCGCCTGCACCCGGAGCGGCACTCACAGCGCGCTCCCCCTCGCCAGCACGACCATGCTGGCGACGATGCCCCTGTGCCAACCCTCCGGGGCGACCACCCCCGAGGAAGGCCCAAGGCTGGCGGCGGACCGGCCGCGAGGGCACAATGCCCTGGAGCACCTGCGGGATCGCGGAGCCCTCGCCCACCCTGGAGAGGTCGTCGGCCACGTCGTTGTCTTCTGACCAGTAATGCGCGGCCGTCAGGTCGCTCATGCCTACCCCGAGCTCCAGCTGCGCCTCGATGACGATGGCATTGACGAGCGGATGCCTCGCCTTCCGGCGCACGACGCTCTGCAGGGCGCCGGAGGCGTCGCCGCGGAGCCCCAGCTGGCCCTCGGCATCTTTGATGAACGTGGCCCACGTGGTGATGGCCAGCAGGAGGGCGTACGCCTCCCACAGCGGCTGGCTGCCCGGATCCTCCTTCAGGGCGCCTGTGGCGATCTCGTCGGTGGCGTCCCAGACGGTGTAATAGAAACCGTGGTAGTGTTTGCCACCATCGCGAGAGAACCATGCGCCGCTGCCTGTGGTGCTCGCGTCGAAGCCGATGATGAACTCCAGAGGGCGCTCGTCGACGCAGAAGGCCCTTGGAAGGCTGACCAGCCGCCGCTCTGAAAAATGGATTATCCAAGATAGCGCCAGAGATACCCTTTCGCGCCGAAGGACGGCCGCCGACTCACCAGCAGCCGGCGGAGCGGACACAGCCGCCCAGATCATTTGGGCGAAACCTCGGAGGGCAGGGGTGACGGAACCTACCCAAGAGGCCAGCCCCGCGAACGCCCTCAGATCGCGGCGCTGGATCAGCGGCTGCTCGACGAGGCGCAGGGCCCCGCTGAGGAGTTTCTCCGCCTGGTCCTCCGCGACGGTGATGAGAACGGCGTGGATGCGGTCGCCCTTGAAGGCATATTTCATTTCTGCGCCGAGCCACGTGACCGACTCGCCGTGCTTGCCCTTCGTCCACGCCATGCGGAAACCGAGAGCCTCCCACAGCAGGAGCAACGTTAAGACAGCCATCGATCGCTCCTCGGGCTCACCGACGAGGACAACCAGTGGGTCGTCGACGTAGCACTGCAAGTGGGCTTCCGGTGCGGGCACTGTGGCCGCAGACGCCCGCATCAGCGCTGCTGCAACCCTGCCCCGCACCAGGGGCCCGGCGATATGGCCAAACATGACCGTGAGGTACTGGAAGAACCCCCACTTGCCGTCGACGCGGGCGGAACCGCAGAGGTACCTTCGCTCCCCTGGGTGTACGCGGAGCTGCTTGAAAGCGTCCGTGAAGTCCAGGACCAGGATGCCGACCCGGCCGCGGCGCTGGGCGGCGCGCCCGGCCGCCCGGAGGGACTGCACGGCGTCGTACAGCCTGGGCAACACTACCCGCTCTGGGATCCTCGCCAAGGCGTTGACCCCGCTACGGCGGAGATCGTGGATAAGCCGGATCTTCAGCTTCCCGGACGCCCTCAACTTTGCAAGAACAGCCACCTTGGACAAGTGGCATTTCCCGGCAAGCTCTTCCAATTCCTCCAACGTCTCCCGCCAGATCAGGTATCCAGCGTCCAACTCGGCCTTCAACGCAGCGTCGGCCTCGGCCGCGTACTCGTCATAGGACGCGTAGTTGTGGAACCCCCACGCGGCAGGCCACGGCGCCAGCTCGGTCCGCGCCAACCCCGCGTACTTGTAGGGCTTGTCCATGGCTGGGAACACGCCGCAGACCGGGATGTCCTGGTCGATGCCCATGGGGGTCGCGCCGGCGGCCCACTGCCCAAGCACGACGTCTGGGCCCCCAGCCGCCGTCAGCATGGCCGCCAGGAGGTGCGCCTGCAGGCCCGATGGGGCGACGCCGATCGGCGCGGCGCGGCTGGCCCATAGGGCCGCCAGGGCTTCGCGGGCGCGCCCCACCACCGCCGCCGGAAAGCCTGAGTTCTGCTCCGTCCCAAGCAACTCCATGACCGCGCGGACCTCCGGCAGCACTGCCCCGTCTTGGCCAGCGATGATGGGCGCCAAGGCTGCTCTGATGTCCCTGCCGACGCCGGGCCACCCAGGGACGCGGGCCACCGACAGGTGCGGATCCCGCAACCCCCCCAGCGCCATCTTATTGGCTGCCTCCCGCTGGGCCTTCCGGCTGGGCGCCTGCAGTGGGTCGCGGGCGCCGTGCTCGTCGAAGGTAACCGTCGCAATCGACGGCGGCGACGAGCGGTCAGCTGCAAATGCCCGGGCCAATGCCTCGCATAGGTCCTGCGGGTACTCCGCGGCCAGCTCGATCCTGCAGCACCGCGACCCGTCCGGCCTCGTCGCGAGCCCCTCCAGGGGAAGGTGAGGCGGATGCACCGGCGGCCCCGGGCATCGCACGCCGAGCTGTCGGAGCCACGGGGCGTTCGTCACCCACTTCGTCCCCTTCCTGTACTGGCCTCCGAAGCAGCACTGGTCCCCCTTGACGACGAAGACGCCCGGCAACAAGACGAGCAACCGGTACTCCTCGAACTCCCACATCAACGACCTCTCCGGGCCCTCGATGGAGAAGAAGCCGCCGGCCTGGATCTGCACCTTCGCCAAGCGCGCCGTGCGGACGGCCCAGGCGTTGTCCTCGGTGACGCACCGGGGCCTGCTGTGCCGCGTTCCGAGGCCGTAAGGCTGCTCCGTGCTCCGCAACACGACCACCCGGGCATGCAGTCTACGCCGTCGAGCCCGCACGAACGTACGGTATGGTGGTGCGAAGTGGAACCATCGATAACTGCGGCGGCGGATCCGCCGGGCGAGGTCGCGGAACTCTGACAATGCCAACATGTCGAAACCGCCGCTCCTCGCCCGACCAGGGCTCCTCGCGGTGAAGGTGTCCACCTTGACGCCAAGCTTCCGGACTGCAGTGGACAACCCTGCGGCGCCGACAGCCACCTCGGCGAAGTGCTGTCTGAAGGGCTGCTGCGGCATCTCTCCATCGGTCCGGGCACCCAGATCCTTCGGTACCCCTCGCAGGCGCTTCGCCGCCAGCCGCTCGCCCCAGGAGCGGCGGCGGATCCTCGGTGCGGCGAGCTGCCCGGCCGCGGGCGCCGCGCCTCCCGACCGCGGACTCCCGCGGGGGCGGCCAGGGCGCGGCTGGGCGCGATCCCGAGGAGCGCCCGTGGGCGCGAGGGGCGAACAGGAGCGGTCATCGAGACGAGGCGCGGGGACATTCCGCCGCACTGCAGAGCATTCAGGGGCTGGGCTACTGCCGCCGTGGCAAGATGCCTCCGCCCCTTCACTCGCCCCGCATCCCTCGCCAGAGCAGGCCGGGGATTGGCCTCACTTGGGCTTGCCCCCCTTGCCCTTGCCGCCGCCCTTGCCTTTCGGAATCGGCTTCCAGCCTGGGTGGGTCCTGCAGTCGATGCTGCGATGCGGCTGGCGGCACCACTCGCAGCAGTGCACCCTTGGCGGGTGGCTGCTGCACGGCGTCGTGCATCCGCCCTCGTTGCGGCTCCACTCGAAACAAATGTCCGAGCCGTTCTCTGCGCGGAGGAACCGGCCGTCCTCGCGCCTCTGGTTGACCCAGTTGTTCCACTCGGTGGTGCCCCGCATCTGCTTCGCGTCCCCCTGCCCTGACTGCGCCGCGTCCCTGGCCGCGGCCGCCTTCCGCTTCATGGCCCTCTTGCCCATGCCAGGCGGCGTCGCCGCTGACCCCGCCGCGGCCGCGGGGCGGGCGGCGCCCGAATCTGGCGGCACGGGGGGGGTACTCCTGCCGACGCGTCCACGACGGCGCCCGCGCAGCATGCCCCCCTTTCTCCCAGCTCGTCGCCTTCTCCTTGAGGTGCTGGTCCCAGAAGTCCTTGCCCTCAAAGCCCTCCACGGCGGCCAACAGCACCGAGTTGTACGGGCGCTCCGGCTGGAACGTGCTCAGGTTAGGAGAGCTCTTGTGGAAGGCCCGCTGCCGCCTGAGCTCGTCCGGCACGAACTCAAATCGGAACTCCCATTCGGCCATTGCGGCCACCCACCATGCCTGAGGGTGGAGCTCTGCCAGCCGCCGGAAGTTCCTGGCGTAGGCATCAGCGACGCCGCGCTCCACCACATCGGCCATGACCAGCGTGGGCACTGCGAACTCCCACGCCGCCATCCAATCGTCGAGACAGGACGGCCCCGGCACCTCATGTGGGACGAATGCTCCTTGCGCATTCTTGTGGTGTATCGTCAGCATGAGGTGCCGCTCGCGACGGCCGCCGTTCGGCCCCCAAATCGCCATATCGAATGCCAACGGGTTCAGCTCTGCATCCGCGATCCGCTTGATCACGGAGAGCTGGTTGTCCGTCGGCGCCAGCTCGCGGGGCAGCGGCAGCGAGTTGATGGCCAGCCACCGGCCCCGCATCTTCTCGAGCTCAACCTCCTCGAGGGGCGTCACTGTGAGCCTGGACCCTTGGTCAAAGAAGTCCCTCACACGGAGGACGGGGCCCGTCGCCGACTCGATCGCCCCACTCCCGGACCCGATCGTGGCGATCACGGGCGGCTTCGCAGGGCCAGGCGGCTCAGACGCGCCAGCCACAAGGCCCCCTCCAGGCGCTTGCTGCGAGGCCTCGGACCCGCTGATCAGCGGCAGCCCAGCCAGCTGCCGAGCCACGTTGAAGAGCAGCACAAGCCTCGTACGCATCAGGCCGCCGCCCCCGACGGTTGCCGCCGACACCGCCTGGAGGTAATCATCCACACCCACGGCCGCCAAGAGCTTCATGTCGGCAAACTCTGGCTCCCCGAGGTGCGTGGCGACCTTCGTCCAAATGTCCTCCCCGACATTGGCGAACTGCCGCGCCGCGGCGAAATCAGCCATGGCGCCGAGCTCCTCCGGCGACGGCATCAGCGCCTCCATCGCTGCGGCAGCCATGGCAGCCCGCGCAGCGCAGATACAGATCTTGAGACAACAGGGCCCCCCCCGCTTACAAGCGTGCGACCACACACCTGTCCTAGAGCCAAAATGTCAACGGACCGTGCTATGCATCATGCTGCCGGTCCGCATGCTGCTACTCTATGCTGCCCTACTCGCGTTCAACTGGCACTGAAGCATGAGTAGGTTAGCACTGCCAAAAGCACAAGAACACAGGGAACCGTTTTCCGGTCACCTGGGCGTTTCCCCGCGGATCCGCACATTTTCGGTGTACCGGTCCATCCGTGCATTCTGGGGCAGAGAGGCTGCACTCTTCACACATCCCTGCAACCCCTCCTCCCACTCACCCCCACCCGCAGCAGGGCTTCGCTGTGACTGCGCACACGCGTGTGCTTCACAGCATGCCTCTGAAAGGCCCATGATCGCCGCAATATAGGTCCATGTGGCCACGCCTTCCCCCCCCCGATGACGCCTTCGATAGGCCAACATCTTTTCAACACCAGAGAAGCACATTCCCTCCTGCCCATGTTCGCCTCCGACGGGCCCGATGAGCTCAGGGTCGTCCTTATCTCAGCCTTGGATGTATGCACGTCCCAGGCCCCAAGCATTGCAACTTCCTCTTACAGTAACCACCCCTGCAAACGAAGCCCTTGAGGCATCGCACCTAAGAAGGGATCGAACAGGGCAGGGCTAGATGAAGGGCGCCCAGGGCCGTTGAGCAACCGCCAATTGTCGAGGGGGGTTCGGGCCGTTTTTCCTCCGTTGACCTGGGGCCTTCTTTTCGCTTCCTTCCTTCCTCCCCTTTCCTTGCCTGCCATTGTCCTCCCTGCTCTTGCCTTTCTTCCTCTCATCTCGCTTTCCTCCCTTTTCTGCGCCTTTCCCTTTCCTTCCCTGACTCTCCTCTGTCTATGCTTTCCTCCGAGACAACTCGCGCGTGATATTCGACCCAACACGCTTCAGCGAGCACACGCGACGCAGACGCGCCGATCTGCATGCCGCCGCGCACGTCCATAACTAGGCTGCCCGCAGCCTACACCCAGGCCATGGGGCAGTCCTAGGGCCGCCTATGTCGTTAAAGGCTTAACGACTCCTGCCGTCCTTCGACTCGCGCTAGAGCCGCCGCAATTTGCTCCAACGGTCCCTGAAGGTTGCTGGATTTACCTGGATCTACCTGGATTTACCAGGATTTATCTGCATTAATCTGGATGTATCTGCATTTACCTGGATTTATCAGGCTCCCCCACAAGTCGATTGGCGACAAGTCGTCGAGCCCTTCGGGACTTTGGCCTGCGCGCACCCCCGCGCCGTGGCCGCCGCCGCGGCCGCCGCCGCCGCCGCGCGACCAAGGTCCGCTCGGAATCGCAGCCGGAGTCGCCGCCGCCGCGGCGGCCGCCGCCGACGCCGTCGCCCGTCGCCCGCCGCCGCCGTCGCCGTCCGTGGTCGCCGCCGCCGCGGTGGCGACCGTCGCCGTCGCCGCGCTCGTCGCCGCCGCCAGCGCCGTCTCCTCGACCGCTGCGGCGGCGGCCGCCGCAGGCCGTCGTCGCGCGCGGGCCCCATGGGCGGGGCGGGCCGGCGGCCCCGCGGCCTTCGCGGGGCGGGCGCTCGGGAGGGGGGGCGGCCCAGCGCCCACTCCTGCGCGGCGGGCGGGGGGAGGGGGGGGAGGATCGAGGGGGGACGTCGGGGAGGCGCCGCGAGGGGGGGGGGCAGCGAGCAGGGGTCGCGGGCGCAGCGTGTGCTTCCGACCCTTCCGGGAGGCTGCTGCAGGCCCGCCCGGGGCCTACAGCAGCCTTCTGGAGGCCTGGGTCAGGGGCTTCCTCCTCCTACCCCCTCGTGCCTGGCGGTCGCGGGAGGGAGGCGATCTTCCCCACCCGACAAGTTGGTTGGAGATTCACGGGAGAGACCTCCCGAACCGCCACGCCCTCTCTGTATTTACCGCGGCCGCTCGGCCCCAAGGGGGCCCTGTGCCCCCGGGGGATCCCTCCTCGCGCTCTCGGGCGGGGATCGCTCGAAACACTACGTTTCTACGCGCGGTGATCTGTCTTTTCGGCGGGAGGAAGGCGCATGACGGACCGAGGAAGATCCCAGACCTCTGGCGACTCTGCAGAGAATGTGACGGCTTCTGCCTCGCACCCCGCAGCGCCCAGGGGCAGCCTTTTTCGGGGGGGGAGCCCCGTGATCGTCCTTGATGGGCCCGTTTTCCACCACCACCAGCATACGTTGGAAGGGGAAGGGGTCCTCCTCCTCCTCCTCCTCCTCCTCCTCCTCCTCCTCCTCTTCCTCCTCCTCCTTCCCCCCTCCAACGTATGGTGGTGGTGGTGGTGCAAAACGAGCCCATCAGCCATGGCGACAGGCCTCGCGATGCCCTCGACACTTCCAGGGGCCCTCACTGCACAGTCCGCCGCCCAGGGCTCGACCGGGCTCCAGGGAGGCCCGGGCGCCCGAGTGGCAAGCAGCAGGTGTCACCCCCGCCCCCTCCCCCCTGGCACCCACCCCCCTCCCCACGGCGATCCGACGCCTCCATGTTCTTCGCTTGAGTACCCGTCGGGCGGAAGAAGTGGGGAGAAGCACAAAGTGGGAAGGCGTTGACAATAGATTGGGTGTCCGCCCGCCCCCTAAAAAAGAGGACGGGAAAGGTGGAGCCACTCGATCCTTGAAGTAGGAAAGCGAGGCAGGCGCCTGGCTTAGACTGGAACCTGGGACTCCAGAACTCCCTTCTCTCAACGACCGATGGGTGCCGGTACGGCGCCCCCGACCTCCGGCCTGGCTCCCCCGGGGGCAAGCGCTTGCTCGTGAGCCGTTCTCCAGCGGTCCTCCGGGGCCCGGCGGGGGCTCCCAGAGGCCGGAGGGAGGCGACGCGCCTCCTGCGCCCCTCCCTCCTCTCCTTGCCTCCCGGCCCGCGGGAGGAGACAGAATGATGTCGCTGACCATCGCTTGCCCTGAGGACAGCAACACGACTGACATGTGTTCTGGGGGTTCCGGGTTTGGAGCAAATCCATTATTCTGGGGTATACGATGGTCTGGAACATGCAACATGTGAGTCAAGAACATGTTTTCCAGGCAAAGGAGGCGTGATCTGTTTGAGGGGCGCACCAGAATTTGTCAACCTACCCAGTAGCCAACAAACCAACCGACCAACCAACAAACCAACCAGGCAACCTACCAACGAACCAACCAACCGCTCAATCAACCT